TTCAGTGCCTGCTCCTGGTTTTGCACTCAAGAATTACTCCTGATGGTACTTAGAGGGCCATATGGGATACTGTGGATCAAATCTGGGTTGGCCTTGTGCAATGCAAATGCCCTGCCTGCTGTATTGTTGCTCATATCAATGATCTTTTAACTATCTCTACAATCTTGTCTTTCTCAGAGCATCTTGTAGTTGAATCAGCCTTTAAAGCCTACCCCTGAGCCCCCTTTTAAAAATCAGTAATGTATTTAAGGTTCTTTCTTCCACGATATTTTGTAGCTTCATAGATTTCTTTTTAGTGCTGAATAATAACTCCATCATACCACAGTGTATACATCCACTTACTGAAGAACTGTCCTATCCTCCCGTTGTTCATCAATTTGCTCGAGCGGGCCCAGTAACGTCTCCATTGGAGACTTTGTTGTTACTGTGTTTGGCATATCGAATACATCACGGGTAGCTTGCCAGGCTCTGCCGTGCGGGCGAGATACTCTCGGTAGCTCGCCGGGCTCTCCGAGAGGGGCGGAGGAATCGAACTCGGGTCGGCCATGTTGGCTGCGTGCAAGGCAAACGCCCTACCGCTGTGCTATCGCTCTTACTGAAGAACACCTTAATTAATCTCCAAACTTGGCTATTAATGAATAAAATTGCTACAGATATCCCTGTGCAGATTTTAGTTTAGACATGCTTTCAAAACTTTGGGTAAATACCAAGGACTGTGACCGTTGGGTTGTTAAGGAAAGAGTCCATTTAGTTTTGTACTTCCAAATGCCTTTCAATGTGACTGAATCACTTTGCAGACCTCTGAGCAATAGATGAATTTTTTTTTGCTCCACAGCTTTTTCAGTATTTGGCTGGATTGGTATTCTGGATTTTGGCCACTGTAATAGGAACAGAGAAGTATCTCATGGTTTTAATTTGCTTGCATTTCCTATATGATGCATGGAGAGCATCTTTTCATATGCTATTTGACATTTGTCTTCTTTGATGCTGTGCCTATTAAAATGTTTGGCCCAGTTTTTAATTAGATTGTTTTCTTATTTTTTAGTTGTAGGATTGCTTTGTATATTTTGAGTAACAATCCTTTATCAGATATGTCCTTTGTAAATATTTTCTCCTAGCTCATGGCTTGCCTTTTCATTCTCTTGACATTATCTTTCATAGAGCAGAAGTTTTTAATTTAAGTCCAGCGTCTCAATTTTTTTCTTTCATCGCTTACGCCTGTCATGTTGTATCTAAAAAACCATCACTGTACACAGGTTCATCTAGATTTTCTTTTGTGTTAATTTTTTAGATTTAGTTTGCATTTTATATTTAAATCTACAATTCATTTTGAGTTCATTTTTGTTAAGCGTTTAAGGCTTTTGTGAAGGTTTGTTTGTGCCTCGCACCCTTTTCAATTTATTTTTTGCCTGGGATAGCCAATTTTTTAGTATCATTTGTTGAATAGATTATCTTTGTTCTATTATATTTCCTTTTTCACTTTGTCAAAGATTAGTTGACAATATCAATGTGGATTTATTTCTGGGTTATTTACTCTGTTCTATTGATCTCTTTGTCTAGTCTTTATTACCAGCTTTACAGTAGTCTTCAATATTGTGTTGGATATTCTGGGTCTCTCGTCTATATAAATTTTAGAATAATTTTATCGGTAAATAACCAAATAAGTCTGTGGACTTTTCTTTGGGATCATATTGACTCTATAAATCACATTGACTTATTGAAGGAAATAGCATCTTGGCAACAATGAGTTTTCCTTTCCATGAATATGGAATTCTTATTTCATTTGTCAGGATTGAGATTCTTCTCATATAATCTTACACATATGTTAGATTTACTATTTCAATTTTTGGGTGCTAATGTATATGATACTGTGCTTCTAAATTTCAAGTTCTACTTGTTTGTGATTAGTATAGAGATTGACTTTGATATATTAACCCTATTAAGAAATACACTCTCCACACACTCACACGAGCCTCACGCAGAAGGAACCGGCAGAGGAACCCAGGTGTGCGGGACCCGGGACTGAGATCTCCAAGCCTGCTTGGATCGGGTCTGGGCCTCCTCCACATAGGTCCCTCACCTTCTAGTAGCTAGACAGTTACATCCACCAACTGCCATGTAATCCCACCAATGGCCAAGTCGCTCTCAGAGAACCCAGCAGGTTACCAAAAGTATCCTGCCCGCATATATAACTGACTAGGAACACCTGTAAAGGTGATTAGAGGCTGCCCCAAAGGCCTCCATCCCTCTTGGAGAGCCCGGCAAGCTACTGAGAGTACCCCGCCTGCACAGCAGAGCCTGGCAAGTTACCTGTAGCATACTCGATATGCCAAAAACAGTAACAATGATGATCCTCATTCCCCTGACCCTGAAAGAGCCCCCAATATGCCATCGGGCTACACATGACAGGGACATTACTGGTGCCCACTTGAGCAAATCAATGAACAATGGTATGACAGTGATACAGTGATTTCTTACATAGAAAACCATGCTATCTTTGGTTGGTGGACAAAGGTAGTCCCATTTTCCCCCTTCCCAATACGGCTGTCTTTTATTTCCTTTGCCTTGTTTTATTGAATTAGCTAGCTCTTCCAGCACAGTGTTGAAAGGAGTAGAGAGAGGGGGACATCCTTGCCCTCTGTCAAATCTTAGCAAGAGAGATTCAGACAACTTACCATTAGAAAGAGGGATGGGGATCAGAGCAATAGTACAGTGGGTAGGGCGCTTGCCTTGCAAGCACCCTCCCCGCTTCAACAGCAGCCCATTGTCCCCACCCCACATCTCTTCTTTCCAAGGTAGTGGTGACTGCCTTCCTGCAAATATAGCACTGAAATAGTAAACATTTTCTCCTAAGTGATATTAAAAATTGTTTCATCTAATTACTTCTTGTTTATCTTTTTTGCTGAGCTAGTTTTTATTTTTGAAAGACATATGAGAGAACACAGTAACAACAAAGTAACAACAAAGTCTCCAATGGAGACGTTACTGGGCCCGCTCGAGCAATATGAGAGAAATCATGTCTTGCATGTCAAATGGAAAAGCTTTAGTATATAAGCAACTTACACTTAAGCAGAAAACATTAACACCAAATTTTTACAATCAGATATGTATATATATGTATATAAAAGCACCAGACATTTAAAAATGTAAACATTTCTACAGACTCAGTTCATCAGAATGAAGGTAACAGACAGCAAAGGCATCATTAATAGAATTACAAAGTCTATATAGAGCAATATATTTTCATTTCAATATATTCCTTAGAAAGAGTTACATAAGACACATGCAAATAACTATTAAACATGTAAAACAGACTCAAAATGTTATACATAACAAGAAAAAAATAGCACAACGTTGAGCAAAAGACAATAAACACAAAACTTTTACATTTTATTTCTGTCCATGAAAGGCCCAAGTCATTAATTTAGTAGGTACCTGCATTTTTAAGTAAAACGAAAACTTTATTATTACAATAGTTTTCAATGCTCAGACTGGCCATTCACACTAGAAACACTTGAACTTCAACTAATGCTACAGTTAATGTTCTTGGAAATCCAACATATATAGACTGAAAAAGAGTTCCTTAGTTAAATGAGACAGATCTTGAAACTAAGAAACACTTCAAAAAAATTTTAAGACTGCATGAAGAACTGAATTAAGAAACAAAATTGTTATGAAACCAGAGTCCCGAGTTTACAAGTAAAAGAAATCATGCTGACTATCACACCTGTTGATCTGAATGATGGCATGGTTTAGTTTTAAAGTTTCAGAAATACTTTTGAGTTTACTGTTGAAGTGGTACATGTTTTACAGAATATTTCAAAAGTGCGACCCAAAACCCAACCTGAAAGTCTACCGATTGACATACGTTTCCCAACACACCTTCCATCCTTATGGGTATCAAACTAACAAAGGAGGCAATAAACGGTTTCTACAGGCTCTAGCCATTCAATCTAAAGTTCAGTTTCTGAACTATATAGGATATCCTATATATTGGTCCATAAGTAATGGAACATTTTTTGAAACAACATTAAATTTGGGATAGAGAATGAGGGGATGAAACTGGAGTCCCCAGTTAAAGTGCTAACGGTCATGGACACTGATGAGTGACCTGGCTAAGGAATGGCACTTAAAGAGAGACTTCATAGTTTGTACTGGCAGACTAAATCTACCCCTCCCTTCTCTGATTCTTCATTCTTTTAAAGATGTCTGTGTCCTCTGTGTGTGTGTGTGTGTGTGTGTGTGTCGCGGGGGGGGGGGGGGAGGGGAATTTTCTTTCCCTTTATCATCATTTTAAGGTTTTACCATGTAGTCAATCAATCATTTTAACATGAAGTCTAGGAAAAACAAATTCAAGGCTAACACTAAAAGCTTGAGTAAAAATAGGGGCTGAGTGATAGCACAGTGGGTAGGGCGTTTGCCTTGTACGCAGCCGACCCGGATTTGATTCCCAGCATTCCATATGGTTCCCCGAGCACCACCAGGAGTAATTCCTGAGTGCAGAGCCAGGAGTAACCCCTGTGCATAGCCAGGTGTGATGCACAAAAAAAAAAAAAAAAGCTTGAGTGAAGATAACAACAAGCCTCATCCTCTGATCAAAAAACTGTCCTCTAAGAACAAAATCTTCACTTGTGGAAGTGGAAAGAATTGTCCTAGTAAATGGCATTCATTTAGGGTGTGGGTGTGACACTGGTATGGGAAATGAGAATAATTACTCTGTAAATAATGGAAGGGACGTTATATATTAAATAATGCAAATAAGTATACATTTTGGTTCTGAGGAATTACTGCTTTATGGATTGTATGTTGTTCATACACACACTATATTGGTGCACCACACAACTGCTAAAGAGGATGCCTAATTTCTAATCCAAAAGTAACTAAAAAAAAAAAGGACAAGTGGAAATAATAAAAATGAATTTCCTACAGATATACATAAAAATTAGAATTAACAACTGAATCTGAGTTCTGATAACTGATATTATGCCCTTTATAATGCATTTCCTATAGGTATGCATAAAAAATTAAAATCAACAACTGAATCTGAGATCTCATAACTGATCTTATGTTCTTTATAACAGTGTTCTTATTTAATATGTAATTTAAAAGTACAGAGATTACATTTATTCTAAGCCTAGATATCTCCTCAACAGTAGTAATTCAGGATGACTCTCACTTCTCCGTCAATTATACAGACTCATAGTTATGCTGCAAAAAACTGACTGCACCTTCTCTGATAAATATAGCACTCAGACACTGAGTGAGCAAGGTAAGAGAATCCTCTTGTTCACTATTAATTTGGTAAAAATTTTGCTAAAATAGACTGCATTCACATTTTCAATGAATTAACATTTAAATGATCAAACAGAAAATTACTTAGATTTTGTTTCTAAAAATAAGATTTATTTGTAATAACCGTCTTTAGTTAACTATACATTTACACTGGGGAACGCACAAGAATAGACAATGCTAACTTTCAACATTAGTATGGTATCTTTTATATGCTAATTCAAAAGACTCTACCTCCCACTCTAAAATCTCTTCCTTATGGAAAAAAAAATGGTTCTGGTATTTGAACTAAGACTCTAGAGCACTGGGCAAACAGGAGTTTTAGACGGGCCAGAATCAGTAAATTCTAGTTCTTCTCAATTAAACAACTGAAAAAGGAACTCTACTTCCAAATATTAGAAGCAAAGTCTAAATATTAGAAAAATAAAGAGAGAAAAATATAACAAACTGCTTCAAAATACATGCCTGAGGTGAGAAACAGCTTGTATTTTCTATTTTCATGTGTGGCAGCTTCCGGATGATTTCATTTTGTTTTTAATCTTCAGATTCATATCTGGAAAGAGTTACAGTCAGTTAAACTCAGAGCATAATGTCATGATACTTTTTTTGTTGGTGCTACTACAGTGAACTTATCTGAAATATCAGTAGCAACAAAACCCAGCAGTGCTACATTCTCCACTTAAGAAAAACCACTGCTTTTAATTTACAATAGTCCCATTAGATAATGGGTTAATATCCAAGATATATAAAGTGCTGTTAGAACTCTACAAGAAAAAAAAATATTCAACCCAATTAAAATATGGGGAAAAGAGATAAACAGAAACTTCCTCAAAGAAGAAAAACAAATGGTCAAAAGGCACATGAAAAGAAGCTCTGTATCACTCATCATCAAGGAAAGGTAAATCGAAACAACAATAAGCTATCACCTCACACCACAGAGACTGGCACACATCGCAAAGAACAACAACCAGGCATGGCAAGCATGTGGGGAAAAAGGTCCCTCTTTCAAACTGCTGGTGGGAATGTCGAATGGTCCAGCCCTTCTGGGGAGAAAATATGGACATTCCTCAGAAAACTAGAAATCAAGCTTCCATAAAATCCAGTACTTTATTCCCACTCCGGGGAATATGCCCCAAGGGCCCCAAAACTCAATGCAGAGAAGCCATCTGCACTGCTAGTGATATAGCGCATATGTTTATTGTAGCACTATATATATAATCGCCAAAATCTGGAAAGAACCCAAGTGTCAAAGAACAGACGGCTGAATAAAGAAGCTATGGTGCTTCTATACACAATGGAATTCTACTTGGCCGGGAGGAAAGATGAAATCATACAACTTGTCGATACATGGATGAATCTAATGAGTGCCATGCTGAGTGAGATGTGTCAGAGGGGGTGAGGGACTGACACAGAATGATCTCAGTCGCAGGCGGGCTAGTAGGAGAATAAAGCCTGAAGGCGATGGATGTGAGTTGGAAGCTTGCCACTGGGGCTGGGGGGAGGGGAACAGATCAGGGAAGGGGCCATTATGACAATGATAGAGGGAAGTGGTCCCTCTGGACCAGGATTAGGTGCTGAAAGGAGGTTGTGACATGCATGATACGTGATCAGTAACAGCAGAGTTAACCACAGTGCCTAGCAGGGGGGAAAAAGGAAAAAGAAATAATGCGGGCCATAAGGGCAGGATGGGAAGCAGGACGGAAACTGAGGACCTTGGTGGAGGGAAGTGAACGTAGGTGGAGGGATTGGAGTTGGAATGTTGCACCCCTGAAACTTAATCATGAATAAACTTTGTAACTGTAATTCATGGTGACTCAATACAATTAAAAAAAAAAAAGCCACTGCTCTGACAGGCTGGAGTGACAGCAGAGCGGTAGGGTGGCTGGTCTGACCGACCTGGGTTCAATTCCTCTGCCCCTCTTGGAGAGCCCAGCAAGCTACCGAGAGTATCTCGGCCGCAGGGCAAAGCCTGGCAAGCTACCCGTGACGTATTTGATATGCCAAACACAGTAACAACAAGTCTCACAATGGAGACGTTACTGGGCCCGCTCGAGCAAATCGATGAACAATGGGAGGACAGTGCTACGGTGCTACAGTGCTCTGACAGATGTCAGCAACAGTGAAAGCACTGTGGCAGGGACTCGAAGGGACTCCAAGCAGTGTGGGGGAGAATGGACCAGGTACTGCTAGGACACCTCCAAACCCGGGGCTCTCGCTGCATTTAGACCTATGGCAGTCCAATGCAGAAGTCCAGGAATTGTCCCATCACTGCATAGGGTAACAAGTTCTCCGAGGACAAATCTGATTTTGGATTCATTTGCTTGGCCTGATCTGGATCTCTGAAAAAGATGCAATAGCTGAGTTTCCAGGCAGAATCCAGTGGGGAGAAAAATGTTCCTGCGGGACTGTGTCGCGCGGGATACTGTGTCGCAGGGGCTGCATGGGCCCTGGGAGGCCTGGTCTGCCAAGACCGAGTGGCTCTGGCCTCAAGGATGCCTTGCGTGCCTTGAGTTCTTTTGACTGGACTGGGACCTCGACTTCCTGTGGCCCTGTCAGAGATATCGGGTTTATGGGATGACAGAGTTCTGAGTCAGTGTTGAACCATTTTACACCTGTGGACTGCTACCTGTCTGCATATGGGCCCTGGGTAGGCAGTTCCCACCACTGCCACAGACCAGTGGCTTTCAACCTTTCTACACCAGCAGTCGGGCACTGGTCCCCAGGCCTGTGGTTGAAGGAGATGGCTCCGGCCCAGGCCAGCCAACTGCGCGGTCTCACTGGGTCTAAACTGTCCCGCAGGAGACAGTGGCGACGCTGAGGGGCACACCAAGGGCCTGGTGAGCTTTCCTGCTCCCCTACTCTGCCCCTCCGGGGACTCCACTGCCCAGAGCGGCCCGGGAGAGTTGCGTGGGACAGGCGCGGTGTGGGCCGAGTGGAGGCGCCCCAGGAACCGAGAAGGTGCCGCCGCCGCCGTTGAGGCTGAGCCAATTCTCCTTGGCTCGCCTTGGACACAGACTTGGGGACGGCATGATTGAGCAACCCCCACCCCCGACCTCTCTGCACACATGCTTGGAGTGGAGGAGAAACAAAACAGCGCCCAGCAGGGAGGGAGCAGCGAGCAGCAGCGTCAGCAGGCTTACTTGGCCAGTCTTTTCCTCAGGTCTTTGATTTGGTCATTCTTCTTGGTGAGAATCTCTTTCATGTTTCGATAAGCTGCTGTTTGTTGGAATTTCTTCTCTAATTCCTGCGTAGTGAAACAAACAAACAAACAAAAAAGTTAGCCTGTTACTAAGAAATAGCTAAAAGATAACAAATCTGATGGAAATGTATGTTTTTATGGCTCCAATATTTTGCTATGTTATTTTCTCATTTCTGTTTTATTTGGTTTGATAGTGGCGGGGAGCGGGGTGTGTTGGGGATATGGGGGACTCACTGGGCGGTGCTTGAGGAATACTCCCAGGATTGTTACTGGGGTGCTCAAGCCTCCAGCATGCACTTCAGCCCTTTGAGCTATCTCCCTGATCTATTTCCTGATTTTTAAAATTTATGAAATTAAGGCTATTCTACCTAAACTTTAGAATTACTTTCTTGGGCCAAAGAGATAGTATAGTGGGTAAGGTGCTTGCCTTGCAAGCAGATGACCTAGGTTAGATCCCCTAGCACCCAACCAGTTCCACCAGGAATGACTCTGGAGCAGAGAGCCAGGAATAAGCCCTAAGCACTGCTGGTTGTGCATCCCAATCTGTGTCCCCACAATGACATTCTCTGTAGTTGCATGTTAATAAAACTGTAACACCTCGCCCCAAGTACAATGTTCGCAAATAACTCAAACATACTATGCCTTAGACATGAGAATCTGCAACAGTAAACAAATTTTTGGGTAAAATAAGCACAATATTTTTCTGAATCTCAAAGTAGCTTCTTTGTCGCTCCCGGTAGGGACTGCTCTCAGCTGTGCTCAGGTGTGCCCACAGATCAAACCTGGGCCTCCGCAGGTAGGACCCCAAGCAGCCCAGCACTAGTGTCCCTGTTGAAAGAGTCGAAGCACTCAGGCAAAGAATCAAGTTCTTGACAAATTTCACATAGCAAATACCTGTTCTAAAAATATAGTATTATGGTCACCCAGCCCTTTGCCAGGCTGAAGGGGAAAGCAAGAAGAGCAGATGGCGGTACAGGGAGAAGTACATTACCACACCATAGGAAGTGAAGTTATCAATAGATATTTCAGTGCCAAAGACGGAAAAATCCCAGTGCCCAGAGATGAGCTATCTTTAGAGACACTACTGGCTAAATCTTGAGAGAAAAGAAGGAGAAGCTGAAGTTGTCCCATGGTTCCCTTTGTTTCACTGGTTCTGTGTCCTGTGTTGATCACTTATTGGGGTGTAAACAAACGAATCTGACCTTCTCAGCCAGGCTCAGCTGCTCCTGAACCCGGAGGAGGTCATGCTTGGCTGTGGCCAAATTCTCTTCCAGAGACTTCTGGTTTTCCATCTTGTCCTGAAGTGTCTTCTGAAACTCACTCTTGAGAGTAGCAACTGTATTTTCTAAGTCACTCAAGTCTTGGGCCCTTCCAAGATCCTAGGAAGAAGAATTAACAATGTATACACGGTAAGAAAAAAATATTTGGGGATGACAGTTTCCAGATCCAAAGAGCTGAGAACAAGTATGTTTTCTCTTATGGGTGCATTTTTGTCCCCCTCACCAGCCCACTCAAATTCTGGTCCTGGGGGGCTGCTGGCAGGCACAGCTACCCTCAGCCTTCAGTGCAGGGAGCACTGCAGACCTCTGTGGCCACCGGTCCCCAAATATGCAATATGAACTGAAGAGGGATAGGAGTAAGAGACAAGCAACTGAAATTGGCAAGTAGGTTTTGTTTGGAAAAGTTAAAAAAGATCCTGGTGGAGAATTCTGAATGACACAAGTGTAAAGAAGAGTAAGACAGTGCAATTTATAACAAATATTCAAAAGATATATGTTTTAGTCATTATTTACCATGAAATATGGTGTTTTTGGGCTGGAGCGATAGCACAGCGGGTAGGGCGTTCGCCTTATAAGCGGCCAACATGGCCGACCCGAGTTCGATTCCTCCGCCCCTCTCGGAGAGCCCGGCAAGCTACCGAGAGTATTCGATATGCCAGACACAGTAACAACAAAGTCTCCAATGGAGACGTTACTGGGCCCGCTCGAGCAAATCGACGATCAACGGGAGGGCCTTTACCTTTACCATATAAATATAATTACCATGAAATTATGTCTCTACTACTTCCTGATTATGTGGTTTTCTAAATTATTAAGTTTTAAAGTCGTTATTATTATATTGAGGCTATACACATTTGCACTTTGTCAGCACAGTATCTTGGTTTTGACCTGATAACATTTCTAAGAGGAAAGTGGTTGTATAGATAAGAAAATGGTGGTGTAGGGCTGGAGAGCTACCTCAAGGTAATGATTAAGCACGTGCTTTGCATGCAGGAGGTCTGGGTTTGATCTCTGGCACCACTTATGGTTCCCCGGCACTACCAGAGTGACTCCTGAATGCCCCGCTGGGAATAGCTCCTGAACATTACTGGCTGTGCACCCCACCCTCCCCGCCCCAAACCAAAAGAGAACAAAACAGAAAAATGGCTATACTTGTCAAATATGAAGGTGAAGCTGTACTACAGACAAAGGAAAAATCTTTACTCATTTTTGGAATCTTGTCTTTTTGGGGAAGGCGTCCCCAGCAATGCTCAGGGGGCCTCATGCTCTTTCATGAGTATCTGGGGATACTCAGCCAAATGGGCCAAATGGTCCAATGTTCTGGCCAGTGATGAGCTATGCTCTGAACCAGTGGTTCTGGGGGCCCCCTGGGCCGTCTGTGGGCTTTCTTGGACTCAGGGGGCCTTCAGAGTCACAGCTGGCGGAGCCGGTAGGACCACGCAGTGATAGGGATGAGACTCACGTCCTCAAGCGATCTCTCCAGACCTGAAATCTGGTCTTTCGTAGTAATTAGTGAAGTCACGTAGACATTTTGCCTTTGTCAAATTTTTTTCTTTTAAAAAATTTTTTGTTTAGGGGCTACACTCGGCAATGCTTAGGAGTTACTACTAGCTCCACACTCAGAGATCACTCCTGGCGGGCTCGGAGGACCATATGGGATTCTGGGGATTGAACCTAGATCAGCAAACCTACCTGCTGATTCTATCCTATCTGGTCCTATTTTCTTTTTTTTTTTTTTAAAGGTTAAGAAAGAGGCTTATTGGCAAAGGAATGGTGATTTGGAAGACAGAAGACACGAATCTTCAAAGTAACCATCTGTTGTACCTGGTAATAAGAAGAAGTTTTTCTAAAGAAGCATGGTCTTACTGAAGGGGGGTTGCATGCAGTGGGTGCCAAAGTAATCAATACATTCTCTGTGGACTGGTCCCCTAAGACACACATCATCTTATCTACAAGTCTAAACAAATGAAGGGGCAAGAGTAAACTGAGAACCACTGTCTATACCTTTAAACTATGGCTAAAGTTCTTGTCTAGGCAAATTTTCAGGTATCTTACACTGAATTCAGCCGCTAATCTCTTTCGGTTGCTTTCAATCCCCACAGTCAGGTCTTTCTTCCATTTCTATGGAAGTTGGAGCCTCGACTAAAACCTGGCTGCTTCCTGCTGAATAGGGCACAATTCTTAGAGTACACCTGGGCCAAAGTAAAAAATGGCTTTTATAAAGATAAACGAGTTATTTTAATTGTTTTATGAATTTATGGTACTTGATAAATGTGAAAACTATTTTCCTTAATCTTTTTAGTGATGTAAGAAGTATTCTTCTATTTTAAATACTTACATATGAAATGATATAGTATGTGAGAATGCTTTTTTTGAAAATATGGGGTGGGGAAGAAGAAAGGAAGAGAGTACAGGTGATTTGAAAACCCAGGCTGACTTCATCTCTCCTAACAGCTGCATAGTATTCCATTGTGTAAATGTACCAAAGTTTCTCTAACCAGTCATCTGTTCTAGGGCACTGGGTTGTTTCCAGATTTTGGCTATTGTGAACAGTGCTGCAATGAACACACAGGTACAGATGTCATTTCTACTGTGCTTTTTTGCATCCTCCGGATATATTCCCAGCAGTGGTATTGTGGGGACATATGGAAGCTCAATTTCTAGTTTTTGAAGGACTGAAATTTGCTTATAAATGGAGAGACATGGAGAGAATCATGCTAAGTGATATGAGTCAGAAAGAGAGGGACAGACACAAAAGGACTGCACTCATTTATGGAGTATGAAACAACATAACATGAGGCTGACTCCTAAGGGTAGTAGATACACAGGACAGAAAGATTGCTTCATAGCTGGAAGCCCCTGCCTCCTGAGCAAAGGGGACAAGGCAGCTAGAATAGAATGGAACAGAATAGAATGGAACAGAAAAGAAAGAATAGAATAGAATAGAATAGAATAGAATAGAATAGAATAGAATCACTAAGAAAATGATGGCTTGAAGAATCATTCAGGATGGGAGATGTGTGTAGAAAGTAGATAAAGGACCAAACATGATAACCTCTCAGTGTCTATATTGCAAACCATAATGCCCAAAAGTAGAGAGAGTATGGGGAATATTGTCTGCAATGGAGGCAGGGGGAGGGTGGGAAAGGGTTGGGCATACCAGGGATATTGGTGGTGGGAAATGTGCACTGGTGGAGGGACAGGTGTTTGATCATTGTGTGATTGTAATCCAAACATGAAAGCTTGTAACTATCTCACCGTAGTTCAATAAAATAAAAAAAAAAAAAGAAAGAAATATAACCCAGGCTGGTTCAATGATGAGTACAAAGGGAATACCACATTTTTAAAAAATTTTTTTATTAGTGAAACACCATGAGGTACAGTTATAGACTTATAAATTTTTGTGCTTGGGTTTGGTTTCAGTTATACAATGATCAAGTACCCATCCCTTCACCAGTGCCCATCCTCCACCACCACGGGTCCCAGCATCCCCCCCACCCCCCAACACCCCCCAATCCCCCCTGCCTCTGTGGCAGGGTATTCCCCCTTGTTCTCTCTCTCTCTCTTCTTTTGGGTACTGTGTTTTGCAAGAGAGGCATTGAGTGGCAATCATGTTTGGTCTATAGACTACTTTTAGCATGCTTCTCCCACCCTGGGAGGGTCCTCACAACACCCTTTATTTGGTGCTCTCTTCTCTATCTGAGCTTCCTTTTCACCTAGCACGTGTGGCTGGCCTTCAAGTCATGGAGCAAAATTCCTGGTACTAATCTCAGCCATTCCTGGGTGTTAGTCTCCCATTTTGTTGCTTTATGTTCCCCAGATGAATGCAATCTTTCTGGGGAATACCACATTTTTTCCTTTTCTTTTTTCCACGGAAAAAGCATAACGAAAGTCTTATGAAGGAGATTTGGAGACTATTTACTGGGCACCTGCTATGACACTAAAACCATCAGAAAAATGATTTATGCACCGAAAACTCACTCAGTTGTTCTACAGACATGAAACCCTACCAGGGGATAGGACCGCAGGGGGAGGTGATGAGGAGACAGAATTGTGCAGGAGGGAACTTCCAGAACTCAGGCCTGGGGTTCACGTGCTTCACAAGCACTACCACTCAGAGATGGATTTGAAGGTTTGTGACAAGAAAAATCCATTCCATTTTGTAAATGCTCACTTAAAGCAACTTAAGGAATAAGTCTGGCGATGGTTGTTGTTTTTAGGCCACACTCAGCTTGTGCTTGGGGCCTACTCCTGGCTCTGTGCTCAGGTGTCACTTCTGGCAGTGCTCTGGGGACCAGATGAGGTGAACTAGGTCAGCTGTTTGCAAAGCGTCTACCTCAACACCTGTACTATCTCTCTGGCCCCAGGTAACATGTTTTGTACAATACAACACAAAGAACAAGACAAATCCAATTAACTAAAAACTCCTCATGTCTTCATTTCCTTTCTCCCGACTACAACTGGAATGGTAACGTGAAAGGGGGAAAGGCTTGAAAAAAAATGTAAGAGCCAGTAGCTCTGAGAACATGTGAAGCATGCGAGCTGTGTATCATGTCCCTCTTTCTGAGGTTGGATGAGGGAAGGGCACTGGTTTCTGTCCAGCCACCTTTGGCCAAGGAGACCTTGATGTAGGACAAAGTGGCATTCCTCTGGGGATCCAGCAGACATGGGCATAATGAATTGTGACTTAACATTAAATTCACAATATTATAAAATGGGAATAAAATAGCTAAATGATCTTTTACCTTTTGATCTCCTTGATCAAGCTGCAAATCCTGCAGAGTTCTTTCTAGTTTTGACTTCTCATCCAACGCATTTGTAGCCTGTAAAGAAGTTAAAACAAACACTCAGCATTCTATTCTGTCTGTAACTCTTCCAGTGTTTTGTTAAAGTAACTTCTCGATTACCTGTACTTCAGTGTTCCTCAGCCTTGACTTCAATTTCTCATTCTCTTCCACAAGTCTTAAAATTTCCTTTGTGAAGAAATTCAGACTTTTATTGTTCACCCAAGTACTTTTTTCACAGTTAAAATTAAAATTACATTTTACTTATCATTTTCATTATCCAGTTAAACCCAACTCTTCATCATTCCGTTGTCTCGTGCCCAAGCTCCTGCCATAATTCTGACTGAGTGGAGGCCAAACATCTTTTTTAGGGCTGGAGAGATAGCACAGCGGATAGGGCATCTGCCTTGCACGTGGCCAACCCGGGTTTGATTCCCAGCATCCCATATGGTACCCTGAGCACCGCCAGGAGTAACTCCTGAGTGCAGAGCCAGGAGTAACCCCTGTGTATCGCCAGGTATGACCCAAAAAGCAAAAAAAGAAAAAAGAAAAAAAATCTTTTTTAAACAACTCTCCCAAGAGAGTCAGTGCTCAGTGCAACCTCACTCCTGACAATTCCTTCCTTATTCCAGCACACACCCGGGGACCTATAGTCTCGTCAGGATCAAGCCTTCTTGGCTGCCAAGCCCTCTCTCCTCTTGTCACTGCCACTTTAATTTGTTTCCCCACTTCACTGCCTGGTTCCCCTCACAACCTGTTCTCATTCCTCTCATCCACATGGAGCTGTGTCTCCTCTGTTCCCCCATGGTAACTGTGACCCAGAGGTTAGGACCATCTTGCTTGTATCTTCCTTTCCAATGACATGATATGGTTTTTTTTTTTTTTGGTATTTTTTTTTGGGGGGCGGAAGGGTCCTTTTGATCTAAATATCTAGTATAATGCGGAGAGCTGTAAAAATATTTATCCATGTATTACTTTTTTACAAATATTTTAATAAAATAAAATCTCTTTACTGTTCTCATAGATCATCAATGTCAAGTGTCCCCCACTAACACACTGTTCCAAAGTCCCTGTGCTCACTTCCCCATGAAACGCTGCAGTGCCAGCGAGTGCTACAGGCTGTAGGGAAGGGAAGTGCGCCCTCTTCTGGTATCACTTAGTAAAGTGACAGTGACTAAGGACCCTCAGGGACTTTGCTTTCTCCACCTTGGAATGGTGCAGCCAATGAGAGGACAGTGATGTTTGCCGATTCTCAAATCAACGCCTTTACCTTGTTTAGGAGTTCTGCTGTTCCGCTTTCATTCAGTGGAGCAAGTTTTGGCTTCATAATGTCTATGAGGGGCTAAAACGAAATAAAAAACCATATTTAAGTCACCATGGAATAGATCATGGTTCAGGTAATCCCTGAACCTTGCATGATCTAAGGAGAAGAGACTGTGTAAATGTATCTGCTGGGATGCCAGGTCCAAGGGGTGGGGTTTGTGATGGCCTGGTTCTCTACTTTATCCCAGTGTCCAAGACAGTACCTGACCCATGGAAGTTGGAGTCTGGGAGATGGCTCAGAGGGTTGGAGCAAATGCTTTGCAGGTAGGAGCCCTGGATTCAACCCCTAGCACTATAAGGTTCCCTGAGCACTGCACTGAGAATAACCCCAACGCATTTCTAAGTGTGACCCAGGAAAAAAAACAAATAAAATGGAAAGCTATCCTTCCATATCTCTAACAAAATATATAGCTGCATAGTATTCCCCATTTAATTGAGGGAGGGGTTGGGGGGGTAAGATCATTTTAGATGTGACGCAGGGGCACTGCTGGAGAATGGGGCATACTGATTGGGGGGGGTTGTAGGAATTCTGCACATCAATACCATAAACTTTATTTAACATTACTGTAACAAACTCAAATCTAATTGAAAAGTTATGACAGAAAAAGAGGAAGATAATCAACAGACTCTTTTTTTTAAAGGAAGATTCTAATATTGGATAATCTTACTCATCTCTGGTTTAAGAAGAAACAAGAGAACAGACAACAGTAAATGAGGATGAACCCTTGGCCTCTGACGGCAAAACTGAGATTCTCAGGCTGTGGAGGGAGGGAGGGAGGGAGAGAGAGAGAGACAGAGAGACAGAGAGACAGAGAGAGAGAGAGAGAGAGAGAGAGCAAACTAGAATCACAAAAAGACAACAGGAGGGTTTTGGGAACTTTAGCGGTGATTAAGATTAAGTAATTTTGTACGTCAAAAGCATACATGTTAACACTATAGGTATATTACCTAAACTAAGACAAAAAGTTGTGTGAAAATAAAGTATAATTTTTTTCAAAATCAGAAAAATTAAAAAGATAATATGGAGGGGAGAGAGGGAGAAAACAGAGGGTAAGAGGCCACTCAAAGCCAGAGCATATGTGGCTAAGATCCTAGTATCTAGTTCCAAAATTTCAAATTTCAACTTGGAACACAGAGTGTGTAAATTCCACACTGTGGGAAAGACTGAGATATTGGTAAGGATTTAGGCAATTACACTATGGGGGAATAATAACTTGGCTGGAAATATAGCATTATGTATTAAAACCAAAAGAATATGTGCACTCTGGCTCAGAAATTTCTAAGCCAGAAATATGTACTATTTCCTAGGATAACTAGGAAACTGTACACAACTTCATTTCTGTGGCGTTTTACTATCTAACACCAGGGATTTCTTATAATGCATCTATATAATGGAGCATCAAGTGGTCCCCGCAAACAATGAGGATCACTTAAAACGAGAAACAAGTAACTATTACAATTTTACAATTGTCTTCTCTGAACAATGAAGAAGAAAAGACTCAGCCGTCTCAGGTCACCTGCTTGGGGTCACCCAGTTAGAATATTGGACAGCAGGATGCACTCACACAGTGTTGCCTAACGCAAGCTTGAGCTGCTTCATGTGAGAGTTTATATGGCTGGGCTTCAGAAGGACTGCAGGTGTACAGGTGTGTAGGTGTACAGGTGTGTAGGTGTGTGTGTGTGTGTGTACGTGTGTGTGTGCATGAACAGCTGGGATCCAAAGGGAATGCAGGTTTGTAGGTGTGTATATGCACATACCTGAGTATGTGGCTAGGATTCAGATAAAATTGTAGGAACTATGTATATGATGGACTGCAGGGTGCAGGTAGGGGTGTGTGTGTGTGTGTGTGTGTGTGTGTGTGTGTGTAGCTGGGACTCAGAGGGAATGTAGTTTTCTGGTGTGTGTGTACGTGTGAGTGCATGGATGGGATTTAGATAGACTGTAGGGATTGTGTGTATGATGAACTGCAGGTGTGTGTGTGTGTGTTGTGTGTGTGTGTGTGTGTGTGTGTGTGTGTTTCCAGTCGGGATTCAGAAGGACTGCAGTGGTTTTCTGTGTGTGCATGCATGTGAGAGAGAGAAAAAAAAGGGAAAGGAACAGGATTGGGGAGAAAGAGAGGAGAGAAGAAGACAAAAACAACTTTCAGTTGTTTATAGTTACTTCCTAAATTTTTTATTTTTGCCAAAGAAATCTGAGAGGCTTTTTAATCGAGAGTTCTCACTTTAAACTCTGAATATTCTGCATAAGTTGAGGATTTTAAACATTGATGGTATTAAAATATTGAATTAGAATGATTAAAAATTACCTTTTTATTTGAAGACGTAAATTCTGATTTTTCAAATTCTGCAACTTGTTCTAATAGTTCTCTTGAAGAAAAAAGCAAACATGAGAAAATGTTCATTTCAAATAGTCTTATCTAACACAAGGAGAGTAAAATCACCAGTACCAAGCTCTTTCATTCATTCACAGAAACAGACAAGCAAGAGAATGGAATTTCACCACATCAAAAATCACATTTAGTCATTAAAAACTGAGAGTGCAAGCCATACAGGTTTGAGTCTCCCACAGTTTTTGCGTTCTGCATCAACCGGGATCCAATATGAAATGTCAGAACGTTGATACAGCGTCGGACATTTGGCAGCTCTGTATTTTCAGGTGCCCTAGTGAGTTTGCTCTATTAGATAACAGACACGGGAAGCTGAGTAATTGTTCATGAAAGACAAATGGATTTTAATAAGATAGTTTTGGAAAGGTCTAGAGCGATAGCACAGCGGGTAGGGTGTTTGCCTTGCATGCGGCAGACCTGGGTTCGATTCCTCCGCCCCTCTCGGAGAGCCTAGTAAGCTACTGAGAGTATCTCACCCGCACAGCAGAGCCTGGCAAGCTACCCATGGCATATTCGATATGCCAAAAACAGTAACAAGTCTCACAATGGAGATGTAACTGGTGCCCGCTCAAGCAAATCGATGACCAATGGGACGACAGTATTACAGTGCTAGTCTTAGAAAAGCAGAGCTGGTTTGTGACAACTATTGAAAAAGAGGAATGACTTTGACTCAAAAAGAGTTTGCTATGTTCACCAGAAAGACAGATGGTTTGGGGGTGACCACCTGGTAATTCCCTTCCACTTGGGAAGGTAAATGAGAGTTTCCCATAGGAGAGCGCATAGAGTCCCTGGTGCTAACTGTTCTTCCCAGTTTCTTAATAGGTCAGTGTCTCCGAGTGCCGTCAAAAAACCAGTCATCTCCCCTCCTGGGCCTGCCCAGCAGTGCAGCACTGACTCCTGGGGGGATGCTGAGCTGCAGCTGTGTTTAGAGAACAGCCCCTGGGGTTTAGCAGTCAGGATGAAAAAGTTTCTGGCATGTCTTTCAATTTCACCATCTTTTCAAAGTCATTGAGTTCTTGGAATTGTTCGAATTACACACTTCTGACAGTTCCTATTTAAGGATAGAAGACAGTACACTTGGTCAATTTTTTTTTTTTTCCTTTTTGGGTCACACCCGGCGATGCTCAGGGGTTACTCCTGGCTCATGCACTCAGGAATTGCTCCTGGCGGTGCACAGGGGACCATATGGGACGCTGGGAATCGAACCTGTGTTGGCCATGTTGGCTGCGTGCAAGGCAAACGCCCTACCTGCTGTGCTATCGCTCCAGCCCCCACTTGGTTAATTTTTAATTTTTCGTGTGTGTGTGTGTGTGTGTGTGTGTGTGTGCGCTCGCGCGTGTGTGGCTACACTCAGTGGTACTCAGGGGCTATTCCTAGCTCTGTGTGGAAGAGTGATCTCTGGCAGTGCTTGGGGGGGGGGGGGCGGAGGAGATCAGACCATATGCGGTTCCAGGGATGCCAACTGGAGTCAGCTGCATGTAAGTTAGTAAGACAGTGCCTTGTCTCCTGTACCATCTCTCTGGCCCAGGAGAGAATACTTTTATATGCAATTACTTGGAAATAAACCTCAAATACTATTAGTCTGAGTTGATGCTATTTGAATCAATTTTTTAAAAACTATTTCATAATCTTTATCCCTTGACCTATCTCTGAGCTTATTATAATTAGTTATCATGATAAACAAAGCTATAGAAAGAATCAGTAGTAGAGGAGCAATTCCCTATATCTTGAAGCACTTTATAATACCTATAAAAGCAGCAGAAATAGCATTTTGAAGGGAGCACCGAGTGGCACCGTAGAGGTCACTCAGGAAACAGATGATATGCCACTGTCCAGTCCCCCTTTCTTCATGCACCAGCCCAAGAGAGACCATGACATTCGCTAATGCTTACGATCACATTGGCGCCTCTATTGTCATAAACAACTGCAGTGACACACTTGACTACCTGTTTTCAAGTTCAGAGATGTCTGTCTGCAGCTTAAGGTACCACTTCTCGGCTTGGGAGAAAAGCTGCCGCAGGAGTAACACGTTGGTGTAGGCTGTGTTGATGAGCTCGGATTCCACCTCACTATGCACCACGGCCTGGAGCCCATTCAGGACATCGGACACTTCGTCGATGGTGAATGTCTCCTCCACCAGCCTGAAAAAGAGCCAGTCCAAACCCTCTGGATTAACAGCCGGAGCCCTGGATCAAATGAAACAAAACCAGGCACTCTACACTCCTGGCATCTCTTAAAGGGATTCAAGGGCAACCGTGACAATTTATCTGGAAACTCTCTTCTTGACCTACAAAACAGGCCAAAAATAATTTAAGGGCAATCAATTTTTGATATGTCTTTAAACAATTCTCCACAATGTGTGCACCCTTTAATATAGGGCATGTGCTCAGAAACATGCCTTAAAAATCTATGTCTTCCTACTATAATTCATCTTAACACATTTCGTGGTTCCAAACGTCACACAGAAGATACAATTTCTCTGTTATTTTTCCATCACTGAAAAAATAATTCAACTTAATTTTTTGCTTTAGGGGTTACAGGTAGTGGTGTTTGGGGGATACTCCTGGTTCCGCACAGGAGTGACGCTTAGTGGTGCTCAGGGGCCCACATGCAATGCCAGGGATCAAGCCTGCATTTGCTGTGTGTAAGACAAGTCCTGAACTCTGTGCCACCTCTCCAGCTCTTCTCTACCATTTTAATAACTGCTTAAACACAAGTTGGTGTGCCTTGGGAAAATACATGGTAATTGTTGGTTCTTTTAGCACTCTGGAGGTTCCCAAAGTGGGGAAATAACCGTAAGTAATTTTATTTATTTATTTTTAAATGCTCACAGAGAGAATGTTTGGGTTGGCAAAGACTTTTGGAACCCTTTTCCTTAACCTCCTACTTTACAGAAGGGAACACAAGTGCAGAGTCCAGAGGGTTGACACACTATGTCCCCACAGGGAAAGACTCACTGTAATCATTTCTCACGACTGCAGCAACATGCCCAAAAACTGAACTCTGCGTGTTGGGATGGAGTGGGGAATGGAGTCCAGGGCCTCCCACATTCAAAGCAAGTGGTTTCTGCTGTGGCCCAGGAGCTGAATTCTTGAGACTGCCCCTGTGCATACCTTGTCCTTAACCACAGTTCTGTCCCTGCCTCCACCCTCAAGAGTCCCTCAGCTCAGAGCATCAGCTCATGAAAAGCATCCCAGGACTGCTCACATATTTTTCCTTCTACACTTCCAAACGAGCATAATGAAGAGTTAGACCGAAGTCTTCGAAAAATTATACTCTATTCTTGATTTTAATAGTTTTTGTCCTTTTTGAATGTAGAATTTAACCACTCGAGAAAAACAAAATCCAAACTGTTTGTATAAAATGTTTATAAATATAAAAACATTTATATAAACATATAAAATATAAAATATATAAATATTAGGTAAAGGTAAAGGTAAAAATATAAATATTAAAATATTCATAAAATATTCCTTATAAAATGCTGATATTTCTGTATTTTTAATAAAACATACCAAAATTGATTAAATATTTTGCTTTTTGCAACTCAAGTTCATTATTATAAACAGTAATTAAGGCACTGGGATGCATAAAGCAATGAATTACTTTCTCTGGCTTGTCCTTGAACAATTTAACAATGAAATGGCTGCTTATATCTGCTGGGGGGGTTGGGGCTTAGGAAGTCATATTATTAGATTAGTGGATCAAACAAACAACAGTCTACAGCTAATGGCCTCTGTGAACAAGCAAAGTCTGTGGCTTTTGTCTCTCGTGGCCCTTTTAATGTCTTATTTCACATTTAATGTGCCAGTGTCTGATCCCCAAGTAATCTGATGCCTCATTATCATTCATTCCTTTTCTTTCTTTGATTTTCCCCCCACCCCCATTTATCCACCGGACCAGCATTTCTCAATCAGGGGTCACAGGGCCCTCTGTGGGCCCCCAGGATATTCCAAGAGGGCCACGAGTGAAAACCATGTGAATGAGGGCTGTGGCATGAGACGAGGGGGCAAATTGATAGGACAGGGGATGGTGGTAGGAAAAAGGTTGGAGACACAGCTCTAGATCAGTGTTCCCAAGCAGATACTGTTCCCTGTAAGGGGCAATGGAACCACGTGGTTCAGTAGCTTCAGGTGCAGTTGGGCGAGGGGGGCTGAGGAGGGGAGCAGGCTTTGTTTCTTTAAAGAAGGTATATTTCCAAGGAGAGTTAAGTATGGAAAGCTCTGCTAAAATCAAACATCCATTTTCTAGTCCTTTAATAACTCAATTATTGGGCAAACAAACTAATCATCTTGCTACAAATCAATGTAAAGTTTCATACTAATCAGCAAGTTTTGCTTTTTTTTTCATGGTTTCCTGCTCTTTAACCCTCTCCTGGGCTGGAGCAATAGCATAGCAGGTAAGGCATTTGCCTTGCACGCAGCCGACCCAGGTTCGATTCCTCCACCCCTCTCGGAGAATCTGGCAAGCTACCGGGTATATCTTGTCCGCATGGCAAAGCCTGGCAAGCTACCCGTGACATATTCAATATGCCAAAAACGGTAAGTCTCACAATTTGTTGTGAGACGTTACTGGTGCCCATTCAAGCAAATCGATGAACAACGGGAGAACAGTGCTACAGTGCTAATCGTCTCCTAATTCTTCAATATAAACTGCACTGATGTTTTCTTACTGTCTTATGATTCCAATATTTAATAAGTATCACTGTATCACTGTCCTCCCGTTGTTCATCGATTTGCTCGAGTGGGCCCAGTAACGTCTCCATCGTGAGACTTGTTGTTACTGTGTTTGGCATACTGAATACGTCACAGGGAGCTTGCCAGCCTTTGCTGTGCAGGCGAGATACTCTCAGTAGCTTGCCGGGATCTCCAAGAGGGGCGGAGGAATTGAACTCGGATCGGCCATGTTGGCTGCGTGCAAGGCAAACACCCTACCCGTTGTGCTATCGCTCCAGCCCATTTAATAAGTAAAATAACTAAATGCACCCCGAGCATCGACACATATTTGATCTGTCACTAGTGCATAAAATTCTGGAGTTGTTTTACTTATTTTTATTTCTGGGCTACACCCAGTGATGCCCAGGGCTTACTCCTTGCTCTGTGCTCAGGGATCAATTCTGGCAGAGTTTTGGGGACTATATGGGGTGCTGAGGTTCAAGCCTGGGTCAGCCACATGCAAGACAAGCACTATACCTGCTCTGGCCCTATTTTGGAGGAATTAATACAGCTAGACAATCATTAATCACATGTATTTCAATGTTCCACCTGCCCTTCTGGAGCTTTGGAATCCCATATAATATGTGCATGTTTGGTAGTAGAAGTTTCCATCACGATCAAATTTCTCTCTCTTTTTTTTTTTGCTTTTGGGGTCACAACCGGCAATGCACTGGTGTTACTCCTGACTCATGCACTCAGGAATCACTCCTGGCAGTGCTTGGGGGACCATATGGGATGCTGGGAATCAAACCCGGGTCTACCACATGCAAGGCGAATGCCTTACCTGCTGTGCTGCTGCTCCAATCAAATTTCTTGAATGTCACATATCTGAGGTTTAGTGTGGCTGCTCTCCATGAGTTAATAGGACAATCCCAGTAAAGGTCCTAAAAGCCTCTTTACAGAGTCCCTACTGGCCACCAGAAAGCAACCCTGTTTCCATTCTTTTTGTTTTTTTTTGCTTTTTGGGTCACACCCGGTGATGCACAGGGGTTACTCCTGGCTCTTCACTCAGAAATTACTCCTGGCAGTGCTTGGGGGACCATATGAGATGTTGGGAATCGAACCCGGGTTGGCCGCGTGAAAGGCAAATGCCCTACCTGCTGTGCTATCACTCCAGCCCCCAGCCCCCCATTCTTTTAAAAAGCTTCTATACCTGCTCTCCTTCAGGTCCTGGAAGCAGGAATCTACAGTTTTGAGCCTCAAGCCTCTTTTTGAACGAGCAAAACGCATATAGTTAATGACTTCATTTTGATGGTGCTCATTTAGGCCCAACTCTGCCTGAAAGAGAGAGAGCAATTTGTTAGTCTTGAAGATGTGAGAAAAGAGCCAACAATAAAAATGTCAGGTCCTCCATGGTGGTGAAGTGTCCATCAGATTCCCTTCCTCCCTGAGCCTGTTTGCCCAACTGGAGGTCATGTCGCAGCACACCTGCTCAGCAGCAGAAAAGAGCAGCAGAGATGTGGGCTATTCCAAAGGATGGGACATGCCTTTGACACACCTTATCTTCTGAGACCTTATCTCCTGGGACCAGATCTTCTGTCTGCTTGGTTCAACCAGATGTGGCTTGGCTGAACCAAGCAGACAGAAAAAATGGACCAGGGTGGGGAAGCAGCCCCCCGTCCATTCACCTGAGATGAGCAGTGAGAGGGCTGTTATGTGACAGAAATAAGCATGGTGCTTAAACCACTTACCAACAGTTTTGTTGTTATTTTGGTGTTTGTATCACACCCAGCTGTGCTTGAAGATTACTTGTGGCTCAGGGATCACCCTGGCACACGCAAGGCAAGCTTCCTACCCATGCATTACCCTGATACATTTAAAAAATATTAATGGATCAGCTTTAAAATATTTATTTGTTTCTGAAGCAGTCAATAATTGATTCCTACTTTAGATCAGTTGAGAGATGAACAACTATGGGCTAAAGACGAGCAATTAATGAGGTTTTCATATTTCAGCAATATTGAAATAATGAAATTAAGCAGTTATGTTGGGAATGACTAAATGAGCTAGAATTACCTTGAAGAATACATAGGATAGGGTCAGAGACAGGACTTAAGCTAAGGTGCTTGCCTTACATAGGGCCAGTCTGGGTTTTATGCCTGATACCACAGATGGTTTCATGAGTACCACCAAGGGTGACTCCTGAGTAGAGCCAGGAATAGCTTGAGCACCATTAGGTGTGGTATGCCATGCCCCAACGCCCCCTAAAAGGAGTATCTAAGATAGCCCTCTTATGGGAGCTGTGATCTAATTCCAAGCTTTCTTTGCTTCTCCCTGGCAACCTTGGACACAGCTGACTGGGTTTGATCCCCAGCACCCTAAATAGTCCCCTGAAACCCACCAAGAGTGAACTCTGAGTACAACCAGACGTGACCCCCAAAATTAAACAAGTCAGTTGAAAGCAAAGTACCTATCATGTCAATTGGGTTTGTAATTAAGAGGTTGATGGTAAGCATTACAGAAGCAAGTTGAGTAGTCTGTAGGTTTAATAACCTTCCTGCTCTACGGAGACCCATACCAGGCCACTAGGCACAATCTCCTTTACCCAATTCTCCCACCACAGCTGTTCACAGCTTTCCCACATCCAGACATCTTTGCCTCCTCTTCATAGTCTCAATTCCCTTCCAACATAAGTATATGAGTGCCAGGACCTCACTCACCTAGATAAGCATTACTCATGCTAAAAGAAAAATGCAAAACTCCCACAGAGGAAGGTGTGTTGGGGGAGGGAAACTGGGACAACTGGCGGAGGGAAGTGGACACTGGTGAAGGAAACGGTGTTTGAACACTGTAAGCCTGAAACTCAAGCATGAACAACTTAGTAACTGTGTATCTCATGGTGATTCAATAAATATTAAAAAATGAAATGAAAGCAAAATGCAAGACTCCCTTTAGCTTCCAGTATGTTCTTCTATTTCCCTCCTGCTTTTCTAATCTTCATTTTCTAGTTTTTAAACCTACAAACTACTCAACTTGCTTCTGTAATGCTTAACATCAACCATGTTCAAAAATTAAAGCTGGATCCTTATCTGACAACGTACACAAAAGTCACTCAAAGTGAATTAAGAACCTTGAGGTAAGATCGAATCTATAAAATACACTGAGCTTCAAGATCTGAACCTCAAAGGTGTCGTTACCGATATGATGCCAGTGGCAAAGGCTACAGAATGAAAAACATGGAATGGAATGACAAAATTAGAGTTTCTGCATGGCAAAAAAAAAAAAAAGAGCTAAAAGCAAAAGATAGCAAACTGAATGGGAGAAAATACTTCCATTCAACACATCAGATAAAGGGCTGATATCCAAGATATGTAAAATACAAAGATCAAGCAAAAGGAAATCTAAAAACTCTATCTATAAAAGGGGAATACATAAACAGGGACTTCACTGAGAAAGATCAACGCATTGATGGCCAAAAGGCACATGAAAAATGCTCATCATCACTATAATGGGAAATCCAAATCAAGACAACAATGAGAAATCTTACATTAGTGAGAATGGTACATATCAAAAATACTGGGAACAATCTGCTGGCAGGGATGTAGTGATAAAGGCACTCTTGTCCACTATCTGGTTCAACCCCTATAAAAAAAAGGTTCTCAGTATACTCAGAATTGAACTGCCTTTGGTAATCTATCTCCAGGAGAGAAAAACATTCATTCAAAAGGACAAATGCACACTGTTCATTGCAGCACCCAGTACAACAGCTAAGATTTGGAATCAAACTACATGTCCAACAACTGATAAGTGGATTGTGAAGATATGGTATACATACACAATGGAAGACTACACAGCTGTAAGAGACGATGAAATCATGTAATTAACTGCAACATGGATGGAACTAGATATCATAGTAAATGAAGTAAGCCAGAAGAAGAATAAACATGGGATGATATCACTCATATGCGGTATTAAGAATAACTAAGTGAAGGAAGGCAATAGTTAAAGGGGGATGCCTGGGTCACCCTTAGTCTACAGTAAAGGAAGGAGAAGGAAAGAAATAGTGTGGAAGTGAAGGGGGAGAAGGCGGGAGAAGAGAGCGATAAGAAGAAACAAGGGGAGGGATAAATGGGATTCAGTTACATGGATGGTGTTCAGGAATGATAGAGCCAAATATCCAAACCAGAGTCAACAACACTGAACTTATGAGACCCAAACTTTAACAACTAAACTTAGGTGCCTGTCAGGATGGCAGGCTGGGGTGGGGGGTTGGGGGTTGAGTGTAGGGAGGGAACCTGGGAACACTGGTGGAAATATTGGTGTTGGAACAGTGTGTGTCTAAAACGCAACTGGAATAACTTTGTAAATCATGGTGCTTTAATCAAATCAGTTTTTAATTTATAAAGATTAAATTTTAGGGTTAGACAGTACAAATAGAGAGAAATAATTTTCTTATATTTTAGTTTATATTGATTATTCACCAACTCCCTGAATTAACATTGCTCGAGCGGGCCCAGTAACGTCTCCATTGGAGACTTTGTTGTTACTGTGTCTGGCATATCGAATACTCTCGGTGGGCCCGCTCGAGCAAATCGAATTAACATTAAACATCAGAAATAACAATGATGATAACAGCTAAAAAGTGACTAAGAGGTAATAATGTCCTAGAATATCTCCTTTAATTCTCAATACAGCCCTGTAGCACCTTAGCACCATCCTCCCATTGTTCATCGATTTTGCTTGAGCGGGCACCAGTAACGTCTCACAACAAATTGTGATACTTGTTGTTACTGTGTTTGGCATATCGAATACGTCACGGGTAGCTTGCCAGGTTTTGTCGTGCGGACGAGATATTCTCGGTAGCTTGCCAGGCTTTTCGAGAGGGGCGGAGGAATCGAACCCGGGTTGGCCATGTCGGCCGCATACAAAGCAAACGCCTTACCCACTGTGCTATCGCTCCAGCCCAATACAAACCCTATGAAAGAGAAATTGCTTTTCCATTTTACAGATAGACAACTGAGGTACAGAGAAGAAATTTTTTAAAGGTACTGAAGTGGTGAGATGAGAAAGCACAGCAGGTAGGACGTTTGCCTTGCATGCGGCCGACCCAGGTTCGATTCCTCCGTTCCTCTCAGAGAACCCAGCAAGCTACCGAGAGGATCCCGCCCATATGGCGGAGCTTGCCAGCCTGGTAAGCTCCCCGGGGTATATTCAATATGCCAAAAACGGTAACAAGAAGTCTCACAATAGAGATGTTACTGGTGCCTGCTTGAGCAAATCGATGAACAATGGGAGGACAGTGCTGCAGTGCTACTGAAATGTAGAGAATTCAGTGCTACTGAAATGTAATAGAGCAGAGATACTAACCAGGCAATCTAACTCGAGCTCATGTTGGACTCTGTTATTTCAAATCTTTTCTGGATTTGGATTTTCCAAAATGAAAATAATGAACATTGAGACAAAGACAGAAAAGTTACTCTAAAGTTGATGGGAGAACAAAGAGGAAGCAGAAATGGGAGCCCAAGTTTAACAAGAGAAACAGTGTCAGCCCAGGAACATTTACAAACCTTTGCAACCCCATTCGTACACATAGAGTCAAATCACTAGAGAGAGACAAAGGAAAAGACAAACGGGGAATGTAAGTAGCTGAAGTCCTGGACTGAAAATCCTGGTTTAAGTCTAACCACACAACTGTCACCAAAAGTCATTTAAATTCACCAAAACCAGTTTTACTATCTGTTAAATAAGAGGCAGATGTAATCATCAGTTTCTAAACCATTTTAAAACAAGGGGAGATATATATACAGCAAATCAAAATGCTTGAATTTATGGCAGAAATAGTCTCTAAGTAATTAAAAAAAAAAGGAGCTAAAACCATACAGCAAGAATCCGACAAGAGCATTCCCAAGCTACTGTTGCAAAATTGTTCCAGAAAGTGAAGGAAAGGAGAATTGGATATTATTGGAGTTAAGGTGCATGCCTTGCCTGTAGCAGCTGTGATCACCGCACCAGATGGTTCTCCAGCATCTCTTAGGTACATCCCGGGAGGTCCCTGAACACTAAATGGGTGGCCCAGGGAATCTCAGATACCAGTATTGCTGAACCTGCAGTGAATCCCCAGTTTGGCTAAGAATGAGTATTGCTTGGGAGCACCACCTCCAGCACCCCCAAAATTAAGAAGGGAAAGAAATGAAAGGTATTGAGACACAATTCCCATAATTATTGGAAGTGAATACAATGATAAAAATGAGATCAATCCAAAAGAACCTATTATATACTGAATGCTTAATACTCTAACAGGCACGCCTCTATTTACTTTATATGCAATTTTTCATCCCTCATTTTTAACAACCATAGTCTCAATTATTATCTGCAATTTACTAATGAAGTAACTGCACCTCAAAGCCTCAGATGTTAACTTTGAGACAACACCACCACCACCACCACCACCACCATTTTTATAGCTTTTGATATTTTAGTGAAACCAAAAAAAAGAGTGGGGCAGATTCTAAGCTCACGAAAGGTCGGGGATGGTGTCTTTTGTTCAGCTGTACTCTCTCGCATCAGTAAGACAGTGTTTGAAACATAGTGTGGGACAGGCAGGAATTCTGGTTACTTGCCGAGGTATACTTCGGCAGTCCTTTTGAGCTATTGTCCCATCTGAAAATTGGATTCAATCGTGTGTCTATGTGTTTGTGTGTCTACGTACGTGCGTGTGTGCGAGGGCGCGTGTGTGCATGTGATGTGTATGCATCTGTATGCGTGTGCGCGTGTGGTGTGCGTGGGTGCATGTGTGCATGTGATGTGTGTGCGTGTGCATCTGTATAAGTGTTTGTGTGTGTGTGCATGCGCGCGTCCGTCCGTCTGAAGGGGTGGAGGAATGATTCCAGCACATCTATCACTGTGTACCTGTGCGTGTGTGTGCGTGTCTGTACACGCACGTGCATGTGTGCATGCGCGCGCATGTCAGTCCATAGGGGCGGAGGAATTATTCTAGCACATCCATCACTGTGTACCTGTGTGTGTGTGTGCATGCGTGTGCGTGCATGTGTGTGCGAGTGTGTGTGCGCGCGTCCGTCGGGGTGGAGGAATGGTTCCAACACATCCATCACTGTGTGCCTGGGCGTGTGCGCGCGTTCTGCGGACGGTCAGCTCCCTCCATCCCTCCCCCCCAGGTGACGGGAAGAGGAGACGTGGCCGGACAAGGCTGTCAGGAGAGGGCTTCACCTAGGACTGTCCCGGAAGGGCTTGGGCCGGGATTAAATGAGCCGCTCGCATCCGCGGAGCCTCTACTCAGGGAGGCCTAGCAGCGCCCTCGGGCAAGGCATCACCCTGGACCACCCTTGCCCCGCGTCTCCACCCGCAGCTCTCTCCTCCGAGCAGGGCGGCGCCAGAGGACCGGCTACTCACCATGGCGGCGGGCGAGAATCGGACGCCCGGAGCAGCGGGACAGGCCACGCGCAGCCCCTGCAAGGCCCGGATGGCCGAGGGTGGCGGGCGCCCAGAAGATAGGGAGGGCGGGCAGATTGTTTAGAAGCCTCCGGTTGCTAATGGGAACGCAGACACCTGACCCCAAGCGCTGCATTTTTATTGGCCCGCAGGAGTACGGACCGGAAGTGCGTGAAACTGGAGGCTTAGCGCATGCTCACTGGCTTCCAGTAACAGGAAATCCGCTCTTTCAAGTGAGCCCCGTTGTTGCCAATGGCAACCGCCAGCCTCCGCCACTTGGGGCCGCCAAGCTCCTGTGCACCGTGAAACTTTGGGCAGTGCAACGCTGCAAAGGGCCATCCGCGCCTTCATCATTTCTTGGCTTCATAACACTTAGCATTGACCTCTCTTTTACGCTCGACCTTTCTTTTTATTTATTTATTTTATAAAGTTCTTCATGGTTGTCATAGGCTATTTCAACACCCATCATATCATCAGTGTACATTTCCTACCACCTATGTCTCCAGTTTCCCTCCTGCCCCATCCCTCTTGCCTATATGACAGACATCTCTCTCTCTCTCTCTCTCTCTCTCTCTCTCTCACACACACACACACACACACACACACAGCTTTTGGGCATTGTGTTTTGCATTTTACCTACTTTCAGCACTCAGTTCTTGCCCAGAGTGATGATTTCTACTACTGATTCTACTACTGATGTCATTATGGTGATCCCTTCTCTATCCTAATTGCGCTCGCCTCCCCGTTCCCTCCCCCCACCCCCCCAACACACACACAAACTCGTGGCAAGCTTTCAACCGTGGAGCAGTCCTCCTGACCCGTTTCTTCTGTCTTTGGATAGTAATCTCATATTATATTTTTATACATCCTGCAAATGAGTGCAATCCTTTTACGACTGTCCTTCTCCCTCTGACTCATTTCACTCAGCATTTCACTCTCCATGTCCATCCATTTATAAGCAAAGTTCATGTCTTCATTTTCCTGGTGGCTGCATAGTATTTCATTGTGTAGATATACCATAGTTTCCTTATCCAGTCATCTGTTCTTGGGCAATTGGGTCATTTCCAAATTCTGGCTATTGTGAATAGTGCTGCAATGAACATAGATATACAGGTGGCATTTCTGCTGTGCGTTTTTGGGCCCCCAGGTTATATTCCCAGAATTGGTATTGCTGGATCACATGAAGCTCAATCTCTAGTTTTCTGGGGAATATCCATATTGTTTTCCAAAAAGACCGCACCAGTTGGCATTCCCACCAACAATGAATGAGAGTTCCTTTCTCCCCATATTTGCTCCAGCACTGGTTGTTCTTGTTCTTTTCAATGTATTCCAGTCTCTGTGCACATCCCATTTTTATTTCTGTTCCCCAGAACTTCCTCTGAAAGGCCTGCATCAGCTGCACTGTCATATTCCTTGATAGAACTTCCAAAAAGCCTCACCCCACCCAGACCATTTTTGGGGTCTCCTCTAAGCCTATAAAAATCTCTAGCACCTCTCACTTAAAAGATAATCAGAAATGGAGAAGGAGAAAAACAAAAGCAGTGAATTTCAAACTATTCAGCTTTGCATCACTGAGAAATTTGTTGAGCAAATACCTCCCTGATTTCACCTCCAGATATTCTAAATAACAAAGTCTAATTTGGAATCTGCAGGTTTTATTAACACTCCAGGAGTGCTCATGGACACTCTTAAGAACCAATCTCTTAGAAGACATAGAACCTCAAAATGAGATAGATTATTGCAAATATCAGTGGTTCTGGTTGGGTGGGTGAAAGTCAAGATTTAGCACAGATCATCTTGTGGGCATTTCTTAGGTTCTTAAGACTATCATAGTGTGCTATTATAGATAACTATTGAAGATGCGTAAGTAAACTAGAAAGTGAACTCAGCATCACATATGCTGCTATAAATGGATTGCCAAAAGGGGAGCCTTCTGAGAACCTGGGAGACTTAAAACCGAGAACAGGATATTTGGCATTGGCCTTGACTTGGGACTAGATTACCTAAGGGAGTAGATAAGCTAATGTAGGTAATTTTTTTTTGTGTTTGGGTTGATTTTGGCCAATACAAAGTACAATTTTAATTTTAGATCCCATAATTGAGAGAATCAAGGTCTCAAAAAGTTCAAACATCAGAAGGCTAGGCAGAGCATCCAAAGCTTGAATCTGTGATGAATCCAATACACATGATGGTTTTAAGAGCAAAACCAGAAAGCAGCTGTGAACTATTTTGGTATATTGTGGGTATTTAATAATATTCTGGTTTTAGTAATTTCATTTTTCTTTTCACTTATTGCTACTTTCATTTTAGCCAAAATATGTACAGAGCTTAGCAAATGTTTCAGGAACTAAACTCAAAACTTGTGAAAAATAAACTTGAATTTTATGTTTATAAGAATATGGTGGTAGCATAGATACAGACTGTAGGATTAAGTTCACTTACAAAGAAATTATGTCTTTAGAAAAAGAGATGCAATTGTAAAAATACATATGTCAGGTTGTCAAAATGGTAAATGGAAAGAATTAAAGTGAAAATTTTTTTTTATTGAGATCAAGTAAGAGCTAGACAGAAACACAGATGAAGAAAGACGGCTCAGAAAAGGGTCTTGCCTGATAATAGAGGCAACAAAGCCATTTATATTTCAAGTCTGGAATTAGATTTATCATCACTGGCAAGAGTTGCATGAACATTTTGTCTCACCCCAAACAAGTGATTAGCAGGATCTTCTTTTCTAAAACTACCCCACACCATTGAACATGAAATCTTTTATCCACTGAGGGACCTTATGAGCATCTAACAATTGTGAAAAGCAGGAGCATAAGGAGTACTTTTACAATATGAATAAGAATTGGCAATATCTTGAGGAGACAGTCAGTTCTTTGCCTGGAGGATCCAGGAATGTACATTTCTACTGAACTTGATAAAATGCTTATCATTGTATACTGTACCTACTAGAGCTAGACATATTCTTTTCCAACAGTTAATTATCACAGTCTTCAGATTTTTGTTGCAATAGATATTAAATGTTCATGTAGAAAGGATATTACTTTACTAAGTGTTGTGAATTCATGATAAAGAAGCAATTTGATAAGCACTTTTTATGACATTTAAGAAAACAAAGTTGTTCAATATTACACTAAGGAAATCTGTATTTTCCTCACAATTCGCTAAATGTGAGGGGACCAAAGTGGTTAACAGATAATGCAAATATTTCATTTATGTTTGTGGCTTGGGAATTTTAAAGTTGTTCTACAAAAATGAACCAGCTAGTTGTTTTAATTGAAAATTCTACTTTAATCTAAAATCTTCTGTACTGAGGATGATGAATATCACGGTTAGCCCATCTACCCAGCTGAGCTGAATGCTGTTACATAAGCTGTCCAAATAGTGTCAGCAAATAGGAACGTGTATTTTGGTCTTAAATTGATGCATTTGGCTCATGAAAAGGCTGAACTTGTGCTTAGGGTTGTTTACTAGCTTGGGTTGATTACCAAAGCAAACAGTTGCAGCTGTGAGGGAGAACAGCCCCACTCTCCTTTTAATAGACTCACTCAAATATTTCCTCACTCAATTTTTTTTAAAAAAGTTACTATGACAACTTGAAATGTATGAATGAGTACCTGTGAATATAAAGATTCAATGGAAAGAATACAAATGAGCCCTGTAGCACTGTAGCACTGTCCTCTCATTGTTCATTAATTTGTTCAAGCGGGCCCAGTAATGTCTTCATTGTGAGACTTGTTGTTACTGTGCTTGGCATATCGAATACGTCACAAATGAGCCCACTGAATATATTTTGGAGGTGGGGGCAGGGGTTGGGCCACACCCAGCTGTGTCCAGGGATTACTCCTGGCTCTACGCTCACAGATTACTGATGTCAGGGACTACGGGACCATATGTGATGACAGGAATCAAATCTGGGTCAGTTGTGTGCAAGCCAATGCCTTATCCACTCTACTCTCTCTCTAGCTTCACTGAATCACCTTTTATTTTTATTATTTTTTATATTAAAAAGTTTTTCAATAGTGAGACATCATGAGGTACAGTTGCAGACTTACACATTTTTGTGCTTGGGTTTCAATTATACAATGATCAAATACCCATCCCTCCACCAGTGCCATCCCTCCCACCACCACGGATCCCGGTATCCCTCCCACCCCCCATCCCACCCATCCCTTCCTGCCTCTGTGGCAGGGCATTCCCTTTTGTTCCCTCTCTCTTATTGGGTGTTGTGGTTTGCAAAAAAGAGACAATGGGTGACAATCATGTTTAGTCTATAGTCTACTTTCAGCATGCTTCTCCCACCTGGGAGGATCCTCCCAACACCTTTATTTGGTGTTCCCTTCTCTATCTGAGCTCCCTTTCCCCCTAGTATGTGTGGTTGGCCTCCAAGTCATGGAGTAAAATTCCTGGTACTAATCTCGGCCATTCTTGGGTGAATCACCTTTTAATATAAAACAAAAATTATCCCTCTTATTAAAAATGATTGTAAAAATATCTCATGGGTTTACACATTGCCAGTAATAATGGGAACATTGGTCAACTGGGATCACCAGATTCAGTTTCAAGATGATTGAAACCTAATCAAGACTAGATAGAGGAAAGGGAAGATGATTTGGATCTCTTTAGCAATATGAACTGTAATTATTTTATTTTTCAAGTCTTCTGTTATATTTATTGTAGTAGAGGTAACATGGTTACAAATAGCATTTACGGTTATGCTTTTAGTGTACCTTGATACTGCCCTTACACCATCACAATTTAAGTGTCTAAGACCTTCAAAGGATGTCAGGGACTACGGGACCATATGTGGTGACAGGAATCAAACCTGGGTCGGCCGTGTGCAAGGCAAATGCCCTACCCACTGTGCTATCGCTCCTGAAAGAGATATGAGGTGTGTGACTAAGGTGAAGCTTTATTTAAGTAAAAATGAAATAATAAAGAAAATAAGTGAAAAAAATACAACAAACACACTTCAAAATCTTAAAGCTTGGGGCTGGAGTGATAGCACAGCGGGTAGGGCTTTTGCCTTGCCCACGGCTCGACCTGGGTTCGATTCCCAGCATCCCATATAGTCCCCCGAGCACAGCCAGGA